CCCTCCCCTCTCTCCCTGTCCCTCCTCTGCTCAGCTGCTCATCTCCCTCCCTCACCACCCCAGGGGCTCCCACCCTCTGAGCACTGGGGACCACTTCAGTCTTGCTCCCTTGCCTTCCCTCTACGCCTTGGGTTTCTCTCTCTTCCTGTGCAATGTAGCTTTGTCCGGGCCAACCTCACATCCCTACACTCACCGCTTAAATCTGCCTTGAGTCTCCCAGCAAGTTCCCTCCTGAGGGAGGTCACAAATGGCCTGCGTTAGCTGTCCCAGCCCCTGGAGCCCTGGGGAGCGTGCCGGGGCTGGGCGCCACTGCTCATGATTGGAGGTATTGGCAGCGGCTGCTGTGTCTGTGGATTCGTTACACGTGAGAGGCAGAGCGGTGGCTGAGAAAAATGGAGCCAGGCCCCCGTCAGAGGAGGGAGGTCAAAGCAGGACTCATGTTTCCTGGCACCTGCATGGAGTCGAGCCCTGGGAAAACCGGAGGAGTGACCTCAGAAGCAACTGTGCCTGTGTCAGGCTACACAAAAAATAAAACGGCCACGTTTCCAGGGCATGTTTGCACACCGAGGTTGTCCAGCCGTTGTCAGAGAATCATCTAGTCTGCAGTTACCCTTTGCTAGGTGTGTTGTGCAGTGGGGCAACCTCAGTGAAGCGACTTAATGTAGCTTCCAGAAGAGCGATGGGCCCAGGAGAACGGAAGCAGCAGCAGGCGGTGCACAAATCACCAAAGCTCGGCGCAAAGACCTGGGTAAATGCACAGAGCAGCTCTTTGATTAAGGAGGGACGCAGTCCTGGGGGACCTGGAAAGACAACGGAGCCACCTGTGGCACCAAGGACAGAATGTCACTGAAGACTTTCTGACAAGTGCCCTTTTCCTGGGAATACGGTATTGTAAGAAAATGAAAGCTTGTTTTGCCACCAGCCCCTTTAAGCGTAAATGAAATCTCAGAGAGTAAAATAACCCTGATTAGCGCAGCACTACAGAGACGCCTCCAGGGTCTGACTTGCCGCCCCCTGGACTTGCTTCTCTTCAGGCAGCTAAGCATCTGCAAGAAAATCCCTTCTCTTTATGTGGCTTCTTCAGCTGCATCATTTTGTGAAACAATTTTTAAGAGGCGAAACACAATAAAACCCCCACACTTTTATTTCTCTTATCTGAGATAGCTCTTGAAATTTCCAACTAATCTTTAATATGGTTAATTTCTCCCCACTTCCAAGCCTCAACCATTAATTTTTTTTTCAAGAGGGAGAGAGGGGAAAAACAGACCTCCCTCCTGTTACTCAGCAAGAGTGTGTGATTTGTAAGTTTCTAAAAATCCTCCCAGCCCTGCTTATTTTGACAAAGCTACTTAACACTTCAAGCAATGAACTACAGGGCATAAAAGTATAATCTGCAGAGAAAAACCTTAATCCTCTATAGTAACCTATTTGAATCTCCTCAAACACATTGCGGTGTGTAGGCCTGGAGAATTAAGTCAATTGTTTGATCAGAGAAGAAAGGCAATTAGGGCTCTCTCTTGATCTTTCTGGTTGAATTCCAGTCAGGGGCAGCCACTGTTCTCTGAGGCTCCATCTGAGACCCCTATTATTTTAATAATAGAGGTGAGCTTTAGAATCACTGCAGTTAAGGGCCTTGCTGCATTTTCATTACCAGTTGTTTTATCTGAGAGTTTCCTATCGTGATGGGCTAGTATTCAGCCTACAGACGATTAGCTGGCCATTTGGAGGTTCCCCCCTTAAACTTCATTTAAAACTTCTTTCTTAACCTGACAAATATTCCAGCAGAAATGAAAGAAAACTTTGAGAAGCAGCTATATGCATGACAGGACGACGGCCATATCCCTCGACCACGGGCTTCTCTGTGGTGGGGACGTCTCTGGGACCACGCAGCACAACGCAAGGATGGAGAATCTAGCTGGGGTGGCCTTGTGAGAAAACCATGTTCTGTCCTTACTAGCTAAGGGCAGCTCCTGAATTTCTGCACAGAAGCAGCAATCCAGTTGGAGAAGGCACATCAGAGCTGTGTTTATGTCAAACAATATATGAAATTGAGTAAAAGTCACGTGTCCATTGCAAGGAGCACTGGAGTTGCTGCTGGAGATTATGGGGTCAGGTGACTAAAGCCTGTCCCAAGCCACCCACTGGTCTGGCCTCCAACGGGTCCTTCTCTTCACCGTAGCCTCCGAGTTCCTGCAGGAAGGGTTCTTGGAGCAAGCTGTTCTGCTTTAAGGCCATTTACCCTTGTGGAAAGACGGCAAGGAGCAGTCTGTTTTTAGGGATGGATGGTGCACGGAGAGCCTGTGGTACAAGGTGGATTAGTGACAGTCCTGCCGGCCAGGGGCTCGTGGTCTGGTGGGGGAAGATGGGTGAGTCGAGAGAGAGAAACAATACAGTGAGTCAAATGTGATTCAGCAGAAAGCCCAAGAATGCACATTTAACCAAAACTTCAGTCCAAGAAAGGGCTTCCTGTAGTCGAGGCCCCAGATAGAAGTAAGAGATAATTAGTAAGCCTATTTTGGGCTGTGCAAATTCCTGGACTGAGAAAAGGTAGAATGTGCTTAAATATCTGCCACCTGTTCTGTAAGGTAGAGTGTGGGCAGATGTCTGGTCAGGAGGGAACTTCGTGCTGTGACAAGGAGTTTCGGCTTTATCCTACAGGCAATGGGGAACCCATGAAATACTTTAAACAGGACAGTAACATGAAGAGATTGTTTGGGAAGAGAATGGGAATGCATTTTCTATAGCTGCGTAACAAATGGCCACAAACGTAGCTACTTAACGCATCTCTTGCCTGGCCCAATCTACACATACAATGAGCCATCGCAACCATCCCCCAAATTTGAGCTGGTGCCCTTGAAATATGTTGGTGAGGAGGAAACCCCGAAAAATACATTTGCCACAAGTTTTGAACCCAAATTCAAGGAAAGCTTTCAGATCTAATACAGAGGAAAAGGAAAAAAAAGTAAAGGACGCCCCAAGAAAGCAATGTGTCACTTCTGGCATGTGGGAAACCTATGAAATGGCTGAGTGGATTGCTCAACTAATTAGAAAAGGGGGCCATGGAGAAATGTCCCAGACGTGAAGAGACTTAAGAATCATGAAATCCAAAAGGAATGCATGGAGCATTACTCGCACAGACCAGGTGTCCATTTGAACGGACTGATTATTAGAAATTATTAAGCAGTTTCTGATCATTTTGTTGGGTGTCAGGGTAGAATGGTTACAAAATAAAGTAGTATGTTTGACCCAAAAAAGGCCTTTTGTCCTGAGGAACAGAGCCAACAGCCAGGCGACTGACATCATCCCCGCGGGAGGCTGGGCCTGCTGAATCCCGCCCTCCCCTCAGAACAGGCACTCCCCCCTGACCCTTCCCGGGGCACTTTCCGCACGTGGGTGCCAGGACCTTTCACTAAACAGGAAGCTCCTGAGGACAGGGCCTCCTTTCATCGTGCATGCTCGGGATGTAACAGGTGCTACAAATACTAATAAACCTTACAATGTCCTCGAAACCCCTAATTCCTAAGTAAGAATTTGCTTTATTTCATGATCCTTACATTTTACCAGCGGTCCTAAACTAGGGGTTCTCCCCCAGGGGTGATACTGCCCCCGGGGGGCACTTGGCAATACGTGGAGACGTTCAGTTGGCACAATTGGGGGAAGGGATGTGACTGGTTTCGTGGGCGGAGGCCAGATGGGCATGAACATCCTACGCACACAGGACAGTGCCTCCTGCCCCCAAAGAAGAATGACTTGGCCCCGGTGTCACCAGGGCCGAGGGGGGATACCTTGCCCTTCTCCACGTCCTGTCGGTTCTGCCTCCTGCGTGTCTTTCAAACCTGCCCAGCTCCCCCATCCCAACACCTTGACTCAGGCCTTCACTGCATCCCCGTGGAGAAACGCACTGGGCTCCTGACTCATATTCTCCCCACCTAATCCCATTCCTCCCTTGGAAGCAAACGTCCTCCCCCATCTTACAAGCTCCCTCCCACCTTCGAAGTTCAGTTGCCTCTGGTGTTAACTGCTCTGCGCAGCCTTCGTCTGGCCTGCTCCCCGTCCTTGCCCTCCCAGTCTCATTTAGGGGCCTGCTGTCCAGATGCACCATCGTTTCATGTCTCCCCAAGTAAACGTCAAGTGACTTGGGAAGGCACCCTTGTATTCAGCCCGCACCACGACCAACAGCACTTAACACAGCTGCATTAAAGTAAGATTTTACGCTCTCGCGGGCACCTGTCATGGCCAGGAGCGGAAGGCGAGAGACTGGGTGGGGTGGGGTGGGGCGAGAGGCAGGGTGGAAACCGCAGCCCGGTGGTCCGCTGCACTATCTGGGTGGCGAGTGACCCAAGTTGGTGCCAGCTTCACGATCACCCTGCATGGCCAGCAGGGCTAATCTGCTCCGACGGTGTGTGTGTCAGGTCTCGGTGCAACACGGACTCTGGTGTCCTGTGGACTTCACGTCTCCTGGTTTCACGAGCCATGAACATGGAGAGGAAAACTCACAAGGGCTGAATACTAAAGGCAGGAAACGCCAGAGTCCAGTGAACAGTCCTGGGCTGACATGTGGGCGTTGGCACCATTTGGGTGCATGTGCGAGAGCCATGAAAGTATTTAAAACCAGCTCAGAAATGTCCCTTGCTTTTCTGGTTTTGCTCAAAACAGTCTCAAGAACACGAGGAACCCAGCGTCTTCTCCCTTCCAGCACTGCTGGGGGGGGGGGGGGGGGGGGGCACCAGGACAAGCTTTCCTTGCACGCACCTTCTTACATTTTCACGATTAACAAATTAAAAACCCTAGAGAGGTCTTCCCTCACTCTTCCCTCTGGTGTGTGTGTTCAAGTAAGTGTTCTGTTCATTGCTGTGGTCTGGTGCGTGTGTATGTGTGTTTTCTGTTCACTGCTGCGGCCCCAGCCTGGAACACGCACTGCCTGAATGAAACATAGTAGGCAGTCGCCATCTTTTGCTAAAACAACAAATGAAAGCACATTTTAAAAAGTTTGCCTTTATTAATAAGAAACCAGTGACATTCAGTTTAAAACAACGTTTTTTAAAAAGTGTCGCGACCTTTCAGGTAACGCTAGGTGTTGTTGGGGCCACTCTGAGTGGAGGAAATCTCGGAGCCTCTTGCAGTTCCACACACACACCCAAAGCAAACACATGCACCAAATTTCAGGAGGTCCTGAGACTTCCCTGAAGTCCGCCCTGAACTTCGGAAAGGGTCCCCTGGCCCCAGGGGGGTGAGTGCCTGCTGTGAGGTGTCGTCTGGCTTGGAACCATGGGTTCACCCGACCTACGGACCCAGAGATGGGATTCAAAGATAGCTCCCCGGCCACCAGTAAGTGGGACCCCATCCACAAAGGACTCACTGCTTAGGGAAGGTTAAGTTCAATATCTGCAGCTGAGAACTTGGTAAACATCCAGACGAAAGCTAAAAAACCTAGCTAACGATCCAGAGATTGCAAAAAGTCTATATGTTGGTAGAGAGTGGTCCAAATATGTGGTAAAGTGAATTTTTCAGTTGTCAGCTGAAAAGTCTGGATTAATCATCTCAGACAGAGATGGAAAAACAGGCTCTAGTCCACATACAACAAACTTTTAAAAATTTTATTGTTTTAAAGAAAAAATAAAAAGAAATATGCATATGCACTAAAGTTTTCCATTAAATAGAAATCGAATGCCTGGTAATGAAGACTATCCAGCTAAAAACAGAATACGAGATCAGTGAAACGACAAGACTGAGCTGGCTCTGGGTTTACTTCGAAGGGCACACTTCATTCACCGTCTCAGGAAAACTGGGCGAGGTCTCGATGGGCGACGGTCACAGTCACTGAGCGAGTAAATACACCACCACTTCCGTGTCCTTTATTTCTTTATGTCCTCAGTCTCATCTGGCTCTTTCTCTTGATGCTCTCTTTCCCACCTCATTTCTTTTAACTCTTGTCTGTATTTTCGTTCAATGAACCGCTTCTGATGGGCCATCTGGGGAAAGTTATCTGACACGAGGAGATAGATTGTACACTTAATAAAGGGTAGCCGCTGCTGCAAAGTGATGCAAACTAAACAGATACGCACGCAAACACACATTCACATGAAATACAGACAGCCGTATTTTGTAAGGCAAGAGAAAAAAAACATTGTACATTTCCTCCCTGGATTGCTTTATCATTCGGAAACACGTTGGAAGTCTGGATCAGCACCCGATTCTAGGTTGTGATGCATGCTCTGACCTTGAGTATCAAAGGCACCGAGACACACGGAGATGTTAAAACACAGACATGTGGCTTCAGAATGACTCCAGGTAGGAGTTTTAACACAGTTCTCTTAGCAAGAAGTGACTTTCAGGAAGACAGTGAAGGATATAGAAAAATGGAAGTGTGTATTTTTGCAAAGCTGAAACCAAAAACTTCAAACAAATAATGATATTATCACACCAATATTTACCAAGAATTAAAGTTTCTGAAAAGAGCAAAGGAGGGTGAGATGGACAGAAGGAGGCTGCGTTCCACATCCCTACTTCAGTTCCTCCGTTTTTCAAGTTTACCATGAGAAGCCCAAAGCTCTCACAGCAGCAGCAGCTCAAGGAAAGTACTTTCATTTGCCTAAAGGGAACATATCACTCAGTGGCATATTGAAGCTAGATTTAGTTTGATATTCGACCCTGCACAAGAGTACTGCCACAGTAGAAATCCTGACTAAAGATTTTAAAATTTTACTATTCATCTGTAGTTCAGAATGAGGGCAGCAATGGAGTAAGGCATCGGGTATGGAATGAGAGGTAGTCACGTTACACTCTTAGTCAGCAAACACATACTTTGGCAACAAACATCACAACAGGCAGCAAGCGCGGCTGAGAGCAATAGAAGTTCTCTGTTCACACAGGAAAAATGATGCAGTCCTGCCAAGCCGGTGGCTAAGGGACTGTTAGAGGTAGGAGGTGCTGCTTCATATTGAAACACATGAAGACTCAGAGACATAGGAGATGACAGCGTGCCTGGGGAGAAGCAACCTTCTTTTTCACTGAGGTTGAAGTATAATGAAAGAGCATATAATATACACCGTATTCCTAAGTGCCCCCTTTTATACAGCATCCGCTCCTCACCCCAGATGAGAGAAGGGACAGAGACAGGGTGGGAGAGAAAGTGTCTTAACAGGCACGGGGTGAATAAGGTCTTAATATGTGGGCGTCAGTGACCGACTTTGAACAAAAGAGGAACATAATGGCAGCTGTGTTTTAGAAATATAATGGTAACAACTCCTACCCCCCGATATTACACTGCTTCCTTTCGTGTTGTGTAAAACACAGGGTCAGGCAGTAGAAGTACATTGAAAGCTGTAAGTAAAACAAACCCCAAGAAGTTGCTGTGGAACAAGTTTCCACAAATGAACTTGACTTCCCCAGCGACTTCTATCCTACAACTTGATCTACATTTTAAAGCCCACCCTCGGATCTAATCACTGATAAACTTTCAGAATCTATCCTTATGTCGCTTTTCCTAGGAAGCCCAGTTACACTCCACACACACACAGTAAATGTGCACATATATTACACAGACACACACACATGTAAAAGTAGGCTTACAGTCGTTTGTATGGAAAATGATACAATAATAAATAATAATACAAGAATAAAGTCTGTGTTTCGCGTAACTATAAACTTACCTTGGCCCCACCCCGTATTATTTTAATGGCTGTAAAATATTAAAACATTTGAATAAAGGAAGGGTTGGTAAACTATCGTCCGCAGACCAAACACAGCCCTCCACCTGCTTTGGTCAATAAGCTGTTCCTGGAACACAGGCACCTGCTGGCGCACACACCGTCCCCGCCTGTGGGCCACGGCGGTGTAGCCGCGCAACTGCCACACCCACGGCGTGGCCTGCAGAGCCGGCCACTCACTCTCTGGGCCTTTATAGAAAATGTTCGCCCACCCCTGGGACACACCAGAATTTATTTAAACACTTCCCCACTATTAAACACCCAGTTTGATGTCTATATTTCTTTTTTGGCTATTATTAATCCAGTTGTCACAATGATCGTGGTATAATTACTTCCTTAGGCGTGACTCCTAGAAATAAAATCTCTGGATCCAGGGGTGTGACTTTCGGGAAGGACCCCCCGCACACGGCCAGGCTGCACCCGGCTGGTGAAACAACTCCCTCGTGCCAGTGTGTGTGTGGGGTCGGTATCAGGAGAGGGCTCTCTCCACGACCGTTTCACTATTGAAAGCCAACGAAAAAACCCTCTACAAATAACGTTTAACAATCTTACAGTGGGAAATGGAATCTCACTTTTGTTTCAATGTGTGAGTGTGCATTTACATGTAATAGGTGAAAATATTTCCCAACAGACTCAACTGAACACACCCAGGGAAGAGGCCATGGACACGGGACTCTGGCAACCCTGGCTTCTGCCCCCACGGATTCCTCCTGGCTCCTCCCACACCCGGGACACCACAGCCGGCTGATGTCCACGAGGCCCTGAGGTCTCCTGCCCTCCCTGGAATCTCTGCCACGCTGAGAATCCGGGCCTCTTCGCTTTCGGTTCCCCCATTTCGCTCTCTCCCACATTTAGCTGGTACTCAAAGCATAATCAGATTGCTTTGTCATGTTTTGCCCACAGGTTCTGCTATGCAGCACAATAGATCTCAGAGAAAAACGTCTTGCATATTTTAAGAAGTTTTAAACATTTTAAACCTTCAATTTACAAAAAATTATGCAGTTCCCTACATGGTCAATCATGTAATTCAAGTTTCTTCAACCCAACGAGGCCACTCGGGACTCTTGCCCACAGAACTGAAAGCACCAATAGATACACATTTATTATTGACAGTGATAAAAAACCGGAAACAAAGTGTCCACCAATTACACGCAAAAAAAAAATCCTGAATAAACTACAGCGTATTCACGGCATGAACTTTAATGCAGCCATTAAGAAAAAAAATAAATTGCCTGGCTGGTGTAGCTCAGTGGATTGAGCACAGGCCTGCAAAGGAAAGGGTCACAGGTTTGATTACCAGTCAGGACACATGCCTGGGTTGTGGGCCAGGTCCCCAGTAGGGGCCATGCAAGAGGCAACCACACACTGATGTTGCTTGCCCTCTCTCCTTCCCTTCCCCTCTCTTAAAAAAAAAATTAAATCTTTAAAGAAAATGAATGAATTGAAGCTACTATGACCTGCAAGGCATCCCATTTTAACAAAACAAGGGTCAAAAATAAAGAAGAAAAAAACCTCTACATGTATAAGATTTCAAAAACAGATGAAAGAAATACGTTGGGTTGTTCGCATCTGGGCTGAGAGTAAGACTCTATGCGAAAAAGGAAAATAAACATCAAAAGGCAACTCAGGGGCACTTTCGAAAAAAATTGTAAGCCCTTTTGGTATGTATCGCACATTCTACCACACTCTTTGTGAAGACTAATTATGAAGAAAAAAGATCGCATTTTATCAGTACTTACCTTTTTCTATTTTCCCATTTCCTTCCATAAAACACTCATTACATTATGAACATATAATTATAGAAAAAGAGATAGGCTCACATTTTTCAAGTGCATCCATTGCCGCTCCCATTTCCGCTTGCTGAATACTATCAAATAAAATACAGGTAAGGCACACTTTCATTCAAAGAGCTTTTTCAAAAACAAATGGTATGGCTACAAAGTATGCAGGCTGATTTTCACATCTGGTACATAAACTTTCATCTGATTACTTCTCCTGTCACACACTGAACTGCACAGATAGGAAGGTGCACAAGGGCGTGCAGAAATGTCATTTATTTGCTCAAAGCCTGTGCAAGTTATTCGTTCCACATTTTTAATACTGCAACGCAATGCCTTCCATTTATGTTACATTTGAAGTATTTCCTACTTAAATTTGAACAGCTTCCATGTAAAGCTTAAACAGGCAAAGAGTAAAAAATATATGTATAGACAAACTTCTAATCATCTCCCAGTTTAACATACAGAGAGGGTTCAAAGAAAGGTGATAATACACATAATTCTTTTCACCTGCAGACACTGGCACTTCCACAAAGTGTGAGTAGCACTAAGAGATCAAATGTCTAATGACTGAGTGACCCAGGATGGGCTTCTCACAAATGCTTGCAGTGCCCTGGCCTGTGCCTCAACTGGCTGGCACGTCATCCCATACACCGAAAGGCCGATTCCCAGTCAGGGTACACACCTACACTGCAAGTTCGGTCCCCAGATGGGGAACGTGCAAGAGGCCACGGATCGATGTTTCTGTCTCACATCGATGTTTCTCCCCTCTCTCTCTTCTTCCCTCCCCCTCCCTCTATAATCAATAAGCTCCTTGAGTGAGGAAATAAACAGATAAATAAATAACTAAACGCTTGCAGCAATGTCAGGTTTCTCCACTGGGCAACTCAGACAGGACAGACCTTACCTGTGCACCTGGCCATATGGTTTCTCAAGGCAGCCAAAGCCCATTAGGCAGTGGTATTCCCACTGCCCAGGGCGGACTCTCAAGTTTGGGGCTGGGCACGGCGGGACCATTGATCCTTGGGATTCACTTTATTACCTCCAAACATTCTGTACCCCAATTTTAAAAAGACAGACTGCAGACTTTCAAAATACCACGTAGGGATTTCACAGATACACAGGATGTTCACCTGAAGGAACTAAAAGGATGCTCTTCCCATACCTGGGTCCTTTCCCACAGCCTATTCTCTCCCCCTTGAAGTAAACAGCCACGGTGTAGGTTCGAGCGTGGGATGGCCCCACCGTCTGCAGAGTCCTGAAGGGAAAGCAAAGAAGACTAATTACGGTACAGTGCTATTTAATTGTTATTGCTAATATGTAACGCCAAGAAACACCACGTACGTACTGCTTAGAAAGACGAAGGTAAGAATAACAAGAACATTAAAAGAGTTTTATATTTGATAAACCTCACAAATACAGAGAGCTTTGGAAATAGGAAATTTTAAAAATTCAACACACAATTTATATGTATTTTTCCCAAAGTATATCTAGTATAAATTATAAATAGCATCTGAAGGCTAACAGTAAAGTGTAAAATATTTTTAAGCAATTTCAAAGCGTTCACATTCCAAGTATCATAAAATGCACAAACGTTTATCACTGAAAACTTAACCACTTCAGTCTATCCATTGTTTTTCAGTGCTAATCACAGCCAAAAACAATACATATCTGGGAAATGGCCCCAAGCCACGCCTGAGTGGTTTTACACCCTTTATGGATTTTTTCTGATGTCTGTGATCTTATCTGAAAGATCAGAAAATGCATCTAATTTCTGAGACATCCGAGATCATTCCCAGGCGTGCATACCGCCGTGTACACAGCACAACTGCGGAAAAACAAAACTCCAGGTGCTCCGGATTCTAACGACAAGGCGCAGATCTCAAGCGCAGGGAAACTGATAACTTCATGGAAAAGGGAAATTAAAAGTCGCCCACCAGATAATGGAAGGAACATGGCAATCTTGAAAAACTATGTAAAACAGACCCTTCATCTTGATGGCAAGAGAACAAGCCCATCTGCACTTTCGTCTGGGGACTTACGAGGGGGCCGTCATTCCCTCTGGGCTCCTGTGGTCCCCGGGATTGAGGCGCGTGGCTTCGGTGAGGCAGCACACACCACAGTGACCGTGCCTCGCCACGAGGACTGTATCATCCCCATTTTATTCAATGAACCTTAATTATCGCCTTTATGAAATACTTTGAGCCTTTCATGCAATATGGGGATATTCATTGCACCTATCAGGCACACATTAAGTACTATTTCTAAATATTTGAAGTTTCTCCCCAATAAAGGAAACATCATTTAGCAGTGACAGCTTCTTGGGACAATTTAGATTGTTGTGCGCTGATACAAATTTCCCTGGGCCTCAGTTTTAATTTCGGTGAAAACCCCTATGGACCGTGTGGTAGCTATTAAACAAAAACAGACGAAAGAATTTAACATTCCTGCCGCCGCTGCGGGCTCCTGGGGCGTCTGAAGTCAGAGAAAAGCCCTGGGAGGGGCGTGTGGGAAAAGGGCCTGCCGCCCCGCCCATCAGACCAGGGCAAACCGGTGTTGACACTGGATTTTAAACATCCTCAGAAATGCACATCCAGATAGTGCCTTGAGAGGCGACCCACCTATTTTGAAAACTCTCCCTTTTTGTAATTGCTCTTTGAAACTACCTTCTGAATGAATCTACAAGCGCCCCCATATAATTACTCCACTTCAGAGTCCAACCTCCTGTTTTCATCACAGCTGGTGTTATGTGTGGAGTGACCCGCATTCCTTTTGAATTTCTGGCTACCGCTCGAAGAATAAAGATTTGTCACTAAAGATATTCAAAAGTACTTGGCAGCTTTTGATGCACATTCTAAGGGGGAAACGTTCCAAATATTTAACACAGCAGCAGTGAAGAGCCACCCCACTTCTTACAGCGGCCGCGTGCGAGGGCGTGTCTGTCACACAGCAGAGGGAGGCCTGCGGGGCTTCAAAGCGGCGGAAAGAGGCACCCAAGTCCAGCTACAAACTAAGCGGACACAATCTTCCAAACTGGAGGCACGGCACAGGTCACAAGAAATAACGACACAGAAGTGTGCACAGCCACTTCTGTGACTGGCGACTGGTGTGGCCCCGTGGGTGACGCATCTCCCCACAGAGCAAGAGGCTGCCGGTTCCGTTCCCAGCTGGTCCCGGGTTGGGGGTGTGCGAGAGGCAACTGATGGCTGTTCCTCTTTCACATCAATCTGTCTCTTCCTTTTTCTCCCTCCCTCTCCCTCTCTCTGAAAATAAATATATATTTTTAAATGTACATAGAACTATTTCATCTGAACTGTTCTTATCTTGGTCTTTTAATCAGAGCATGTCTTCCTCACAGGGAGTAGTTGAAACAGCATTTTAGAGATGGGAAAAAGCTTAGATAATCACAGATGACCCATCTACTTAGAGCTAAAGGACTGAGAGGCCGAAGACACTCAGTGCCGGGCAGAGTCAGGGTTAAGGGGTCTCAGTCCCAGGCCCTGGCCCTCCAGGCAACCAGAGCGTGACTCCCAGCTCCCGGCTCCCATGGTTGCAGGCAGCGCGTACTCACTTGTACAGAGGGATGTCCGGCTCTTTTCCTTCCGTCCTCAGTGTCAGGCAACACTGCTGAAGCTGGGATTTGGGGTCGTTCCAATCCTGATTCAAAATGAACTCCTGTAGCGAGTCCCCAAAAAGCATTTAGTAATGGGCCTGAGATCACCAGGCATAAAGCACACAGCCAGTTTAAATTTTATAGGAGCTTACTTTTAATCGTGGAAAGAAACAAACGTTCATGAAAGTATGAACATATTCCAAATCCTTGTCAATGTACAGCGCTGCAATAAATGCTGGAAAAGAGAACATTTAACAATTAACCACAACGTACTGCCATTTGCCAGAAAGAATGAGACCTAGACGGTTAGGAAACATTCTAATGAGGTTTTCAACTTCCAGGCCCTCTGCATGTTTTAGCATCACCACTGCACCTTTCTTTAGGCAAGAACTACTCTTTACCTCCACTATTACTAGCAGCAACAGAGACGTGTGATTCAGATGCAAAGTCACGGAGCACAAAGACCACACTCCATTTGGCTAAGTCAGTGGAAATGGCAGAGGGAATGTTCTTGTACAGCAGGGGAAGAATGATATCCAGGAACACAACCACGGTAAGATCAAGTGAGTGAAAACAAAACGTGAAGATCAGGTATGAGGCCAGAACGAACACACCCTGGAGCCCGCCATCCTCACCCCAACCTCGAGGTCACCACGAACAAGGGTCTGCGCTACATTTCATGAATAGAAGCGAGACAGTTCACAGATCTGATCTGCCCAAACACAGAAAATATAATAGTCCTGGGCTTGATGATAATAATGACATATCTAAGTTTCCATTAATAAATGATGAACTCAAAGAAAACTGTATTAAAAGGTACCGTAACCAAGTAAACAAATGGTGACTTTTTAAAAGAAGAAATAAAAATACCTTTCATTGAGCCGGAAAAAAAATGGCAGTAAGCATGATCACTAAATTTAATTTTTAAATGATTTCAACTTTTAAGTTACTTTAATTGACAAAGAAGTCTTTTTAGGTTCTAGTCAGAATGCCTTTGCACTTTGATAATGAGCTGCTTCTGAATGGTACACCTTAACATCTGTATACGACTCCAGTGGGCAAAAATACTCTAACATTGAAAAGTTCCAAGGCCCAGTGTATGGCCCATTTATTATAAAGCAGTATCAGAAACAATAAAATTATGTGTGTAACCCTTTACTTAGCCGTAACAGGATTATTTGTGATGCGAACAGACCACATCAGAAAGTGTGAAAGATGATGTTTGTCCAAAGGGCTTCGAGCTCATTCAAAACAATGGTTAATAGTTTCAGTATTTAGTAAGTGCATCATCCTTCTTTCTTCTCTGCCCCGCTACAAAGGCTCCGGGGGCAAAATCAGCTATGACTCACTGTCACCAATCTGCACACTCTGCTACGGGTACGAAGGGTGGAGGGGTGTGTTAGGGCTGGCCCCAACTGAACGCAGACTGCCGTGCAATGCATTATTCCCGCATCTCAATTCCACATTACTCTCCTTCACATGAGGTTTGCAGGAAAGCACAAATACAAATTAACATAGGAAAGTGTGTTCTCTGATCAGAACACAGTGATAATGAGAAAAAGGAGGATAAGTGCTGGTCCCTCTGAGTTAAAGTCTGAACGTGCTGGTTAGGAGAAAGCTTCATGCTGCAGGACTCACATTCCAAAAGGTCTGCCAGCGTCTTGGTGCGAAGGGCCACAGGCCTCTTGGTCTTGTCGTTGGTGATGGCGTACTCCTGCATCCCCAGCTCCTCTGCCACCTTGGCCTGCGTTCTGTTATTCACCAGAGAGCTTCGCAACAACTGGCCAAAAGGAACCAAGATACGTTTAGATGCCATTTCACATTTGCCACCTCTCTTGCTCCTGGCGTTGGGAGCAGCCAGCCCGAGACCAGTTCACTGACCAGAACACCAGGGGAAGTGATCACGTACGCCCTCAACCACTAACCCAGGCAGCAGTGACCAAGTCCATGCGCTTCCAGCTTCGCTTCGATAACTTACTCTGCTCCTGGATTTTACCTGACATTTAAATCGACCACTTAGTTGTTACTTGTAATGACCAGCGTTGTGCGAGATGCTGTACTATTTTAAAGGCCATAGCTCCCATTAAGTTTAGTGGTATCAAATGAAGGAGCATTAAAATTTTTTAAAATCACCTTCACTGAAGTATGACTTATATGCAATAAAGTGCACTCATTTAAGTCCAGTTAGAGGAGTTTTGACAACGTTCTACGCTTCCTGCTTCCCAGACCAGTTCCCTGTGGCCCTTTGCAGTCAACTTCCACGATCCCTCTCCCGCCCGGCACACTTTCCATTGCTCACATTTGTTTTAAAAAAGCATCTTTTGAAGGTCTAAAGTCGGCTTCAAGTTTCACAGCACTCATGCTAATTTTGGTATTGTAAGATTTGGGGAAGTGATGCTTTAGCAAGTATTACCTAAAATACTTAAATTATTTACCGCATTTTCTACTTTTATTATTGTAAAGATTTCTACCACATATCCTGAGTTACGGTTTTTCAAACCAAAATGCTTTATCATTCATCAAATTAAAGTGTAATTTTCATATTTAAAAATTCAGAAATTTGAAACAAAAATTTCTCCTAGGAATTTCAGCAGTCCTCCAAGAACTTTCCAAGTAGCAACACTAAGCAGTGCACAAAGCAGCAGCCCATCCAGGGAAGAGGCGCCCCAGACCGTGCCTGGCTGAGGAATTTAACACTTGCTAACTATGGGACTGCAGGAAGTGGGGAGAGAGGTGCAGAGTGGGGGGAGCAGACACAGAGATGGGAACTCGCCGAACAAGAGATGAAAACACCTGCCCCCAAACTCTAAGATGTGGGGGAATGATGTAGCAACAATTAGGACTCTTCCTATGTCAGACTGAACAGATGCCCAGTCCATTACAGTCCCTCGCTGCGGAGGGCCGCCCACGACGCCAAGGCCACGGCGCAGGCAGCAGCTGCGTGGGGGCTGGTCTCCTCTCTGCCCTTCCACGTCCCACTTTGTTTATTGGATGCGAGTTTTATGCTCCGTGGCTCCACAGTGTCAATGAAGCTTATGAAAATCAAGATTTATTCTCGATGCTTGAGATTGCATCCTTGACAACAGATAAATAAGAAACAATATGTTCTTAATTTGTCTGACAATGATTCATGAAGCAGAATTACAACTTGATCTTCATAAGCCATGCTTGCTGTTGATGCACAGACCATTATTCTTTGCTTGTCGCTGTTCCCTTCCTCCTCTGATTTCCCCCAACTCTATCTTTTCTTCAATATAGTGTTTCATTAAAATTAATGTCCACAGAGAAGCTCAAAATTAAAAAGGCCTGGCACATAACCTTAATAGAAGACCCCAACCAAAGGGGGCCCACCGGCCTATTACCTTGTAATTACAGAATAATTGAGCTGGAATGGAGAGACCTTTTTCAGTTTGCATTTTTAATGAGAGGGGTGGGGTTCCAGCAGAGGCCATGAGGGAACAGGAGGGTTATCTGAGAATACGGCTCTGCTGGTAAGTTAGGTTCTCTCTCAATATGTGCTTTGAGTGAGAGGAGAAAATTCTACTTTAGGCTGCATATGTGGAGGTTTCGTGCCTCGGAATCAACAAGCCAGAGGTACACATAAGCACACACAAACCAGAGTGTGTCACTGGCCACAGGCCCGGCTGCCCCCTGCCAGCGTGAGGGCTCCCCACGCAGGGCTATGCATAGCGCTGTCTGAGGGGGAGGAAGAAAGCAGTGAAGGTGGAAACAAGTGCTTCCGGTGTTATGTAAAATGCCCGGACAGGTCTTAAAGTAGCGGGGTGGCCAGCAGAAGGTGAGATCTTCACATTCATGCCAAAACTCGGAGCCTGAACCAAAAGTCAGTGCGGGAAAGGGAGCTACAAATCACCCGTGTTTTTTGAGTCAGTGCAAATTTGGAAGAAGGGTTGAAAAGAGGTAAGACCTTGCTCTTTACCTAAACAAAAAAGTCCAAATGACAATTTTTAACAACAACTTCCATCCTTGCCCTTTGCTGAACGCTGCTGCAGAATGAATCGTGCTGCCGGCCAGCCCATGGGACCGCCAGGAAATCAGGAGGCCGACACTGGAGGTGACGGCAGCTCCCTGTAACAGTCGTGGAGGCCGGTTCCGTGCAGGCCCTGGGCTGGGAGCTGAAGATGCCAAGATGATTGACAACCCACTGCTGCCCTCTGGGGGCTGCTAATCTCCAAGGGACTCAACTCACAAACTGGCCACCGCGACACACCCACCGTGGCGGCTGCAGGGACAGCACGAGCCACTGTGCGCCCAGGTGCCCCTCTCCATCCAGTCTTCCTAAGGCCTCCTGGGGGACCCAGCTGGGGCGCAAAGGTTTCAGAGGCTCACGGACCCAAGTGTTACATCAGAACCACTGGGGACTCCTGAGATAGGACATGCAAGCCTTTTCCAAAAACCAAGGAATTAGAATCTCTGGGGATGTAACTGGACACGTGCATTAAAAATATTTCATGCTGGAGGATTCTGGTTGATAACGAGTCAAAACTGAAAAAGAGGGAGTCTGCCAGTGGGAGAAGGGTGGGTGCTGCGGTCTGAATGTTTGTGTCCCACGAAATGTGTATGTTAAAAACCTAACCCTTGAAGATGACAGTATTAGGACACAGGGCCTTTGGGGCATGGCTAGGTCATGAGGGTGCAGCCCTCACGAATGGGATCACTGACCTTATGAAGAGGCCCCAACCCCGGCAGGCGTGGCTCAGTTGGTTGGAACATCGTCCTGAAGACCGTAAGGTGGCACATTTATTCCCCGGTCAGGGCACACACCCAGGCTGCAGGCTTGATCCCCAGTTAGGGCAGGTACAGGAAGGCAACCAATCAGTGTTTCGCACATTGATGTTTCTCTCTCTCTCTCTCTCAGAAATGAAAAAAATCTCCTCGGGTGAGGATTAAAAAAAGAAAAGGAAGAAGTCCCAGAAAGATCTCCAGCCCCTTTCACCATATTAGGGTCTGGTGAAAAGTCTGCACCTTGCCTGACTTGCTGGCACTGTGATCTTGGACTTCCAGCCTCCAGAACTGTGACAATAAACTGCTGTTCCTAAGCCACCCAGTCGGTGGTGCTGCGTCACAGCGGCCTGAAGGAACCAAAGCAGAGGGTAAGGGTCTTCCAGGGAGAAGGAAGGGCTCTGGCAAAAGTCACAGCCAGTGACTGCTCAGTGGAGGTGGAGAGGGAACTGGAGCCGAGCAGAGAGGAGCTGACCCAGGTGGGGCTGGCCAGCCTTTGGGCGGAGAGGGCCTTGCAGGTAAGGTGGGGGTGGAGTCCCCAAAGGTGCCCAAAGGGAGCAATGGCCAAGCGGCCTCTGATTTCGGAGAGATCATTTTGGTGGATGAATTCAAATGGAGCAAGACGCAAGGTTGGAAAGCCTGCAGATGCTGATGCTATAAATACCTGCGTCTTATTTTTCAGTAGAAGCCTAGAAAACAAACATTAAGTGCCCAACTGGACATGAGATAGTTATCAGACTGTTTTGCAAACATCGGCTCATGTTAGTTATATAGTACAGAGCTAAAGACTCGGCGCCAAGCTGCCTGGGTTCATGCTGTGGCCCCACTTGCTGGCTAAGTGACCCGGCAGAAGTTACTAAATCTCTCGGAGCATCAGTTTCTGCAGGTACAAAACGGGGAAAGGAGCCTCCACTACACGGGGGTAGTAACAATCAGAGTGGATGACACGTAATCTAAGTACAGTGACCAGCACGTGACAAACACACCAGTGATGTCCGCTGCCCTCGTTCACCGCAGTGGCATCGTCACCAGGACATGCTGCCTCTTCTGTTACAGAAGAAAAGCCATGGGAAGTTCTAGGAATCCCTCTGAATTCGTCTTCAATGCCGAATGCCCCTCACTGTCTTCAAAGCTCTCCATTCTTACCCAAGGCCAGGCTGTCTTTGCTTTTAACAATGCCTGCCCCCCCCCCACCAAATTCATTTGAAATCACCAGAGAAAGTGAAGAAAGCCGTAGTTGGGCTCCTCTGTGAAGCTGAGGAAAAACTACTGAGTCCCTGACGCCATGGCGGGGACCCAAATAAATATCGCAAGTCGAAAACTCTGTTTTTGAGAATTGGGATGGTTTTTATTATCTCAGCACAGCAGTCTTATAATTAGTTTAAACTTAAATTTTAATGAGGAAAAGGTTTATTGGTTTAAAACAAATTACAAACCATACTGGCATTCTTCTTTCAACCACCCTCTCCATTCTCGATTCTAAAGAGAAGACCACAGCAGCGGGGCATGCGCTACCGGAGGGGGCCCCCTAGTGTGGCAAGAGTAGACTGTGACGGCTGCTCGGAGAACTTGAAGTTTGGAGCATGGGGTGTGGGCAGAATGTATTATTAAAAGTGACAGTGATGTGCCACGCAGATCTATTATACCACGACTGGTAGCCAGATGATCTCCATTCCCCGTGATAAGTAAAGAAAAGGTACACAAACACTAGCAGGCAGGATGCAAAAGCCAAATTATCCCAGTGACAGAGAGCTTTCCGACCGAGAGGCTGCAGAGTCTGCCCCTCTGTCTGGATGATTCGTGCCCAGTGCTCCCTGGAGGTGGCAGGGAGGGACTGGGTCACTGCGTTCCAAATGCTTTATTTTTAATCCTTGCTTTCCGTTATCCCGAGTCCTTCCACTAAAAAGAAAAATTTCCACAAGCTCGTCTTGCTGTTGAGCACAGTGTCTTGCACATGGGAGGCATGGGTTTAGCAACGGTTTTTAGTACAGTAGCTTGCAGTCAAGGCGAGGAGAGAAGAATGAGAGTTAAAACTGGAAA